AGTTAACGTTGCAGATTGCATTGTTCCTTAATCTTTTAATTGGATCCGGCTTATTATTTTTTGCAGACTGTTAAAGCAATTTTATAAAAAGTAAGCTTGAACTTTTGATTATGTCAAAAAGAGTTTCCAATTCTGGAGCTGCCAAAGGATCTACAAAGCGGAAGCATGCTTCGATGTCCATTAAACAAAAAATGGATAAAAGCATGAAGAAAGGGACAGAGAGGTGATTTGTTTCTCTAACCATTCTAAAATCTGTTTATCAATTTCATGCTGCTCTGTGTGTGGGGGGGGGGGAACGTCGCGGCACGCAATGAACTGGAAGTTGATATGTCAGCACTATTCTTATCATCAGGGCAGATGTTTTTATTTTATTCGGCTTGTAATTCCTTACTAATTGTAGTATTTCATCTCGATGTACTCCGTCTTGAATGATTTAAAATCAATACCTGTTATTATAAATCTCACAAATACACATCAAATAGTTTTCTGGTTGCAATTTTCTAATTTCGACTATGTGTGATGTATGCTTTACGCATGCATACGTTGAAAGAAATTTTTAATAAAGTAAATAAATATTAAGCTTTTTTTTTAATTTTGATACCATTTAGATCATAATTGCTCTTTATTTCATAAATTACGGTTTCATATTTTTAATTTTATAATTTCTGCATGCCATCTTACAAGATTTAAATTGATGATCTATAATCCGGAATCGCCGAAGTCCCGACGAGTCCGAATTAATATTTTGACTGTATATAGTAATAATTTATAAAAACTTCATGTACCATCCCCAAAGAACAGAAATTCAATTAAAACCATGAAATTTAGGATTTTAAGAATTTTGTCAATTTTGATCTTTTGATTCTGGAATTACTTTTTAAATGTTAGAAAATGTATAAAAATGTAAATTTTGTTTTTACCTTTGTATTTGAGTTTGAAAATGAGAGTTTTGGGATATATCTTCAAAAGTAAGCATCCTTTTTAGTTGTTTCCAGTTTAGTTTATTTGTGTTCTTAGTGAGCAACTTAAAAGATTTTTTGGTAATTTTGTTTTAAAATTCTTTTGGCATAAATGGACTAATAGACTTTTGGCTTAAATGGACTTTTATTTTGATTGAGTATTATTCGTGACTTATGATTTGGCTCTACCAGAAATATAATTTGATGCTTACTTGGAAAAAAGACGAAACACTCTCACTATCTTTAGTTGCTGTTAATTAATGGTAGATTGGTTTATTTCCCTCGATAAGACAATTAATCTGCAATAAATGACGATAGTTACTTTTTTAATAATTAAAAGTTTTACTTGTACACATATATATATACGTATGTACATATTTATATGTATGTTAAGTTATATGCATACACATACGTATATACAGTCAAAAGTCGTTAATCCGGACTCGTAGGGACTTCGGCGATTCCGGATTATCGATTTTTCCAGATTATAGATCATCAGTTTAAATCTGGTAAGATGGCATGCAGAAATTACAAAATTAAAATATGAACCGTAATTTATGAAATAAGAACAATTATGATCTAAAGTTATCAAATTTACAAAGAAAAAGTTAATATTTATTTGTTTACTTTATTAAATTTCTTTTCAATGTAAGTTGTTTAATTACTTTTTCATGTGATAATACTTCTCTTTAATTCTATTAAACAGACATAATTTCTTTTCAGTTCTAGTTCCGCTGTTCAAGTCCTATAATTGCTGTGTCGAGAATACCGACTATTTGTCAATCGAAATTTTTTTCGTTTTCAATAACCTCTGTCACTTTCTTCCTATCGGAAGGGAATTATAATGATGAGGACTTGTTTTAATCTATCAAGACGAGTACATCGGATGAAAATACTACATTTAGTAAGGAATTATAAGCCAATAAATAAAAACATCTGCCCTGAAGATAAGGATAGTGCTGAAGATCAACTTCCAATTATTGCCGCTGCGGCGTTCTCCCCGCCAGCAGCGTGAAATTGATAAACAGATTTCGATTTCGAAACAACTTTCGCTTTAGATCCTTTACATATTAGCAAATATTTATCGGAATTCTATTTTATAATCGAAAGTTCAAGCTTACTTTATAAATTGCTCAACAGTCTGCAAAAAAAATAAGCCGGATCCAATTCGAGATTAAGGAAAAACACAGTTGCAAATAACTGATTTAGATAATTTTAGCTTAGCTTATACCGTCGTTATACATTAAACACGCATGCGTAAATGTTTTATGCGCACACGCATATTCGCAGCCGTAAAGGTCTTACACCCACATGTAAACACGTATGCGCAGAAAGTTTGTAGCTTTGAGTTCCGGATTATGGGTGTCCGAATTAACGACTTTTGACTGTATATATATAATAAATCAAAGTCTCAAAAATCGGAATGAAAAAGAATTAAATCTGTTTTCTCCTTAAAATAAACTGGTAAAACGCAAATTAAAGAAAATTTCAAAATTGAAAACAAAAATTTAATTTCAAAGAGGAAAAATTATAAAAAAATTAGAAATTTGTACATAATAAAATCAAAACAATAAAAATGTTTGGTTAGAGTAGGGAAAAGGGAACCCCTTGTATTATCGCAAAGTTGTTGTTTCATTTATTTCCAATTGTTGTTTCATTTATGGTTAGCCTGATAGTTGAATTTATGGAAACCCTATTATGCATAATCGGTTGCATATTGCAGTAATTTGTCAGGACTTGTAGTGTGTTAGTTAGGAAGTATATGCTGTTTTGTGGTTTAGACTGCGATCATCAACATTTGGAACTACGGATGCTATATGAATATTAAAAAAAAAAAAATCCTTAAATCAGACCTAAAAAACAAACATATTATACGCAAACATATTCAACTTTCCATAGTACAAAGTCGTAATCCGGTGCCATTATCCGGAATATCTATAATCCGGACTCAAATCCACAAACTAGCATGAGCGTTATGCTACGCATGTGTGTAAAACGTTACCCTCAGGATCTGATAGTGTGAAAGTGACAAGGGGTATGAAAACGAAAAAATTTCGATGACGTTAGTCGGATTTGAACAGCAATACAGGACTGAACTGGAACTTTGAAACTGAAAAGAAATTATATGTTTATAAATTAAGAGAAATATTGGCACACACACACACACCAAAAAAAAAAAAAAAAAAAAACCGAAGCAACTGAACAATTTACACTCAAACATATTACATTGATAGAATGTTTAATAAAAGGTAAACAAATAAATATTAAGCTTTTTGTAAATTGTGATACCCTTTAATCTAATTGTCTGTATTTCATTAAAGTACATTTCATATTTTAATGTATAATTTATGCATACCATCTTACCAGATTTAATGTGATCTTAAATCCGGATTAGGACTTGTACTGTACTGTAATTCTAATTTTCATTGTTATATAATCTTCGAACATGGATTCAGCAGCATGGAAATTAGGCTACGCCTGAGTAACATTAAAAACACTATTAACATCTCACGAATATTTTTTCATATGAAAAATTATACGAAAAGTAAAAAAAACACTTCTTGTACAAAAGCTTCAATTCATATCATGAAAAGGAACTTATGAAAAGCAAAACAAATCAGCAACTGCAAGCAATATCAATAAACCGAAAGTGTTGTGCACCATTTTAATTATTGTAACATATATCTCGCTTATTCTTATCGAAATGTGCGCGAAGTGCTGTGCGCCATCCGTCAACCGTTAGACAAAACAAAAACGAAAACTTCAGTGATGCAATTAGAACAGAAAGGCGGAGAAATGAACATTGCATTCTGTTATCATTCATCAAGTTTCTCCAGAAAAATCATCAAGTGCCTAGACATGGAGAAAAACGTGTTATTAACAACTACAATAGCATATGTTGTAATTCAAAAGGAAGAGAATTCCAGTTTGCGCTATTATAAAGCAGCATAGCATGGATGCCAACCTCATTTCAAATGTTGCTAGCTAACCTGCAAAAATAGCTAAAAAATCACTAAATTCAGAAAGAACTCCGTTAAAAGTAGTAGCTAGAATTTTTGAAAAAAGTATAATCCATATTACATAATAAGTTACTTGTCAATTTTTAAACTGAATCTTCATAAAAATATAAATAATGCCCAATTTTTTCTGTGGACTATAAAAGTGTTTTCGCAGACCACCGGTTGGTCACCGCTGGTTTAAATGGTAAAATAGCTGTATGGTAAGAGTAATTGAAGTTTGTAACGATTTGGAAAGAGAAAGGGAAAAAAGCATACTTGACGGGTGTAAATGAAGGTTGACTTACTAGCCATTTTAAGTGTCCTGTTGTAGGAAGGAAATGAGTATGGCCAACATAATGGTGTAGGAGGATATATTTACTCTTATTCGTGAAATAGTGGTGCTAGTATAAAGTTTTAGTTCAGATATTTTAGGAAGGTTTGGATGCTGTTAAGGAATTTTGTTTGACTGAGATGTGTTAATTGTAATAAGTATTCCTTGTAGTTCAAGATGAAGCTTCTGTTTATGTTATTTCTTGTTGATTTAAAATGTAGTTTATATATTTTTTTCTGGCTGCTCCTTGGACTTTTTAAGTGAATATAGTTCAACGTGTCTAGGGAGTGCGCAATGCCTAGTTTGTGCAAGAAAATAGGTCGATGTGTACATGGATACCGAGTTTGTTCAAATCGGCGCTACATAAGCCAAAATAACAAGTCAAAAAATTGCACAAACTCGGTATCCATGTGCCACCAAAAATCGCCAATTTTCACCCAGGGGTACCCATTAATATATATATTTACCAAATTTTTTAATCTCTTTTGTTTAATGCTTGAAATAGAACTTGTCAAGGAAAAAGTGTCTAGAAGTTTTAAACCATGTTGATTAATGAGTAACGAAAAACATGTTTCGCTCCAATGAATTCCTTGCGACTTCAGACCGCTTTAAATTAATCCAGCTTACTTTTCAGACATGTTTGATCCTTTTGTATGATGCTAAATTTCTGTAAATTATAATTATGTATTTCATGTTTTATGTTTCTTTCAGAATTAGGAGATGTTAAAATTGTAGAACCAGATGTAACCAATGGAATATTCTCTGAAGAAGAAAAAGCATTGATTGCTTCTGCACAGGAAGAAAATAAGGAAATATTATGTATCCCTCGCAGGTACCTTTAATTTTATACATAGTTTGAATTTAAAATAATTAATGGTTAAAGTATTAGAAATATTTAAGCATAGTAATCCAAATCTGGTTCCAGTTTATTGCAATTAAGTGAATATCAAAATAAAACTATTTATGTCAAGTTTCTGGTTTCCTAGATTTTCTAGAAGTTATGTTTACATTGTATGTATTATAATTGTAAAACAGTAGCTTTTCATTTATGTGTTTATTAAAAAATTTTTCAAAAAATTTTCCTCTCTGACACTAGAATGTTTCATATCTTAGTTTTTGGCCTGTCTCAACATTTAACATATCTTTCTTTCTTAATGTTTCCCATTTTTAGTTCTTCATTTTACTTGAGATTGAGCAATTATTAATACAATTAATAGCTCTTGTTAACTATGTAAAGTTTAGAGATCCAGTATAATATTCTGAGTGGAATAAATTTTCGACAGAAATTTATGAGGTAGATATTAATTATTCTTTGAAAGCTTATATAACTGCATTAGTAGTCATTCAAATTTCTAATTATTAGTATTTTTTACATAATTATTAAATATATTGAAATGCTTAAATTAATTGTAGTCACTTAGCGTGTGATTATTGTAGAACAAAATGGCATGCAGAATGCCTTTATTTATTTTATTTTGTTTCTTAATAGTTCCTGATTTAACCAAATGTTAAAATTATTTTCTGAAAAATATTATCTAATTACAAATTTTTTATTAATTTAATTTTAAAAAGTAGCTTCATGTTTTGAAGTTTCTTCATAATTTTTCATTTGGAAAGAAAATGCGTTTTTACGTGTTGATTTTTTCTAAAGCTGGATCTAGTTTACGAATGTTTTATGTATTGAAACTTGGATTTTTCACTAGTTTTTATCCTGGCTTGTAAATTATTTGTCCTACATAATTTATGCTTTTTTTAATTTCTAAGACCTTCCTGGGATTCAAATACTTCAAAGGAAGAACTGGATAAAAAAGAAAGAGGTGCATTTCTTCTATGGCGACGCAAATTATCATCGTAAGAAATGAAATTCCCAAATTATAAAATAACCTAATAATTGTGTT